AAGCGTTTTCCAGCCTAAAAAATCTTTATCAATTCAAATCATCTATACCTTTTTGAATGTGAGGTGTTTTGAAACTAAAAACATGATTTGATTGTGTTAGTAAAGAATAAAGCACCTGAACCAATTCGTTCTGATTTTGTTTTCACAAAATCAGCGAGAGCCGCCACTATTTGTTCCCGTGTTTCTGGCGAACACGTATCCGAGCAGATGATTGCCTATAAAGGGAAGTATTTTGATAAATTTGAGTCATGAGGAACGTAAAATATTAAGCAGACAACAGTAACCATTTTTCTCACTACAAATCCTTTATAAATACAATTGCTTCATCTTTGCAATATTGAAATTCACATTGAACTTGAAATGTATAAAGTGGATTTTTCAATGAAATGAAAAAAAATCAAATTTTTTTTTGTTCAGAGGTTGCTCAGTTGTAGTTGTGCTTTCAGCACAAAATTGAACTTTTCAGGATTACCACAAAATACCAATGTTCAATATCATACCTGAAAAGGTGCTATAAGCATTTGATTAAAGCAGAGTCCTTGAGATTCGGAGAGTAAGAGATTAGAGATCACATCTGAGAGGGCTGTTACGCCAATACGAGATTCATCTGGACATGATGCTACCTAAAATAAGAACAAATTAGAAGGGGAGCATAGGCGGCAAACCCTTAGAGAACTGAATATTTGCACTAATACAAAAATTCGAGAAAATCAAAAAGAGGCGTGATTAACTGAGCTCAGGTCACTTTTTTTGACACTTTTCCTTCACCTACTCCCTTCTGAAAGAATTTCTGTGGCTGCCATTAACACTAATTCAGAAAACTTAGTATCAATTTAGAGTAAAAATTGCTCACTACCTGCACAAAATGAGCGCAAACAGTTGGCCAAAGTAGCATTTGATGCACAAGCGGGCGGTTGCCCAAAGGAGCCAGGATTTCAGAAATCTAAATACACGGTATTAGCAAATTTTGAGTCAAATCACCACAGTGCAATTTACCCTTGTTAGTAAATTCGTTGCTGGTGTAAGTGCAGGAGCCTTTTTGCCAGAATA